GACTGGTATATGACCTTGAGCAAGACATTTTGTTCACTTGGCTTCAGTGTCCTCATGCATAAAAAAGAAGGGCTTAGTTTGAATCAGTGGTTTATAAAAAATAAAAAAAATATTGAGAGGCTTCAGACCTCCTAACTAATTTTTATATGGAACCATCATATAAAACACATGAGAGTTGCTCCAGCTGAAGCAGAGATGGGGAGACAGAACGCCATTTCTCTGCCTCTTTGCCCCATTGAAATCCTCTCCCACAGGGACCCTGAAAAATCTAGTTTCCATTTTCTATATTAGATAAAGATCATCAGATAGACCCACAATCCAATCCAGAGAGAGAGTTTGAATACATGCATTTATTTAACAAACATTTATTGAGCATGTACGGTGTTCTCAGCATTCTGCTAGACACCAGGATGACAACGAAGAAAAAGCCAGGGCTCCTGCCTCTAGGCAGTACTTATAGTCTAAGGGAATAGAAAGACAAGTAAATAGGCAATTATTTATTTATTTAATAGCATTTCTTGGATGCCTACTGTCTGCCAAACATTGTTCTAGGCTCTGAGCTTTGGAAATGCAGTAGTTATTCTAGGCAACCAAAGAGTCTAAAATAACCGAAATAAGTACCGATTGTGAATAGTGCTATTAACAAAGATTATGACATAAGAGAGACTAGTGGCAGCGGGGCAGGAGAAGTTCTCTGTTAGAACATGACATTTCTGCTGAGAAGTGCTGGAAAGGACTCAGTGAAGACTCTGGGAGGAGCATTCTTAGCTCAAGAACATCAAGTGCCCAGAAGCTGAGGTGGAGAAAAGCTTGGCATGTCCTGAGATCCAAATGGGGCCAGGGCATCCAGAAAGCGTGAAGGTGGAAAGAGTCATGAGATGATGTTAGAGAGTTAGGCAAAGACTGAATTATGCAAGGCCTAGTAGTCCATGGTGAAGGTTTGAATTTTTTTCTCTTAATTCAGTGGGAAGATATTAAAGACATTTATCTAGAGGAGTGACACCATTTAATTGGTGTTTACAAAAGATCACTGTCACGTAGAGAACAAACAGCACATAGTATTTTGGGGGCAATCATTTTGTGTGTGTGTGCAGAATTTCTGATGGATCAGATATAGAGATAAGGAGATAAACCATGACTTTTTGGCTTCTGCACTGAGCAGCTGGGTGGGTGGCAAAGACTTTTACTGGAAGGCAGGAAACTCAGGGAAGAGGACTCAACTACAATTCAGGGTGACATCTGCGCTACAGCTGTGACCAAACACAGAAAATTGTTCATATCCAAGACCACTTCTGCCCCAGATGTTGATGACCTCAGACCTAAATCATTCCAGCAGCCTTTCAACTACAAAGCTCGCTAGCCTAGTCTCCTGCTTCTCCCTACCGTGGTTCTCCATGATTTTTCTTTTTATTTTTTTTATCATGATACAATAAAAACATACACACATGCATAAAATGTATCATTTTAACCATTTTTAGGTATAGAGTTCAGTAGTATTAAGTACATTCACATTGTTGTGCAATTGATTTTTATTTTTAACATTTCATTATTTTCATTCACTTTTCCTCCTCCTGCCAATCTCAGGAAAAATTCTGCCTTGGACCTTATGCCACTTATTGAGTCTCTTCCTTGTATGACAAACTACGGAAAAACAAAAGTTGATATAGAAAGTTTGTCAAAGAGGCATTTAAAACTTTTACCCACATAGTGTAAGAGGAATAACTAAATCCTTAGAATTTATAAGGAAGTTTATAACAACAAAATCATTTTAAGAGAAGTTATTATAATTCAATTGAATTGAACATATATTACATTTTTATAATTTTAAACGTTTTATTGGAATGGCAATAATCTACCACATCCATAGCCACTGTAAGAAATTTAGGAAGTTCTAGTTAATCAGGATTATTTAAATAAAGCAACTAGTTATTTTATGAGAAAATAACCAGGTTCCCAGGACAAGTCTTAACCCCATTAAAGTTCATCAGAAAATTGCTTAAATACTTTGTCAGGAAAGTTGATTTCTTCTTAGAAAGAGATCATGAATTATGTCATATAAAACGGTTCTGTCTTAGGCTATATTTGAAAAAAAATGTATTTTATGGTAGGTAACGTCTGACTATCATGGGAGAGATTCTTGTGCCTCTTAGTAAGTAGCAGACAAACATTTTTATTATTGATGACATACTAAGATGGAATCAATTTAAATTAAGCAAGACCTTCAATCTACCCAGCATTTCTTTTTGTTTTGTGCCCCAAAGATCACTGGTATGTTAATGTTCTCCAGCTTTCTCTCCTTCTTCATCTTTATGGAGATGATAATGTTCAGTCTAGCATTTTTTTTTCCATAAGACTTTTTATGAAACGTGATTGAAAACTAAATTCTATAACTAAGGCCACTGGAATATCAAGACCCACTGTTTCTAATTACCATATTTACATTAGTAAGGTCTTGATTAAATCGTTTTGCTAAGGTCTCCATTTGCCCCAGGACTTGTCTGGAAAAGAGGAGAAGTGGTATTCTTTTCCCAGTTATATCTTTATATTTTCAATATTGACCAACTTGCTTAAATATGCTCTTCCTCCTGTATTCCCAAATTCTATTAATCACACAATTATCTTCCCACTCATCTAAACAATACCTCCATCATTCACCTCCTTTTTCCTTATCCTTCCCATCTTCATAATACTATTTTTATAAATTGTCATATCTGTTTCATTTTTCTCCAGGCCATTTTGTGCACCCTATAGGGTCCGGTAGAGACAACTACCCCATAAGAAAGCCCACGATCCAGTCCCTCACCAGGGAAATCGCCCATAAAAGGTAATTTCTGTGGAAGATGAGCTCACAGACAAGAAATATAACACATATGAGAACCTTGAGTTCCATAAAAATAGTCTGAATAACTGATACTAAAAAAAAAATCAACGGTATTTAATAGAGCAATCTTAAAGGTACTTAAAAATAAATGTGCATTTAATTAATTGTGTTTAATTAATTAGTTAAATAATTAACACAGAGACATCAGTTGTTGTGCTTTTCTTTTCTGCACTACCTTGTATGTGACTTTCTCTGTCAGTCAGAGGGATCTATACTATCTTGAGAACTAGAACATTACAGTAAGAACGCAAAGACAAAAGCAATATATTTGCTTTGTGGCAGATTCTGCTTCTAAAAGAAATTACTGAGCCTCAGGAGGAAATGCCTGAGAGTAACAGGGCATTGACACTAGAAAGAGAACAGAAGGTATGCTGTTTACTCTTCATCTGACCACTGGGGAGATTAGATAAGGATCACTTGGACTAGTTGGTGAACAGAGAAATGGGCTGGATAGGAGAATTCCTGACTTGGGAAAGTCACAGAAAGATGTTAAGGATTATCTGTGGCCAGAACTAAGCCAAAATCTTAAGACAAATTGTGACCTCTTGAGTGAGCACCATGTCATCCACATTTGCCATTCTTTTCAATCCATGGGTGAAGGCATTCCATGGACAGTCATCTTCATAGCACCCTTTAAATGATCCAGCAAGACACTGGCCTATATTCAAGAATTTGTTAAGCACCTGCCAAATAGTCAAAAAAAAAAAAAAATGAAGCACCTTTCTATGTAATAATACAGAACAATCTCCAAAATATATTGTTAAGAGTAAAGCAGTGTATAAAATTTATGTAATAGGGTACCATTTGTACCATTTATAAAAGAAAATAATATATGCATATATATGTATATGTGTGTAATTATTTATATATTTGTAAAAAGAATATCTCTGAAGGAAACAAGAAGCTGGTGACAGTAGTTGTCTCTGGAAAGTAGAAAGGTAGCTAAGGAATAAAGTAGGTGAAGAATTCCTTAGATCGTAAACTCTTTTGTTACTTTCGAACATTTTTATTACGTGTATGTGTTGCATATTCCAAAAATTGAATAAAATAATGCAAATAAATATTCACACAAAACAGCAATTTTGCTTCTAGATAAGTTGCCTGAAGAAGCTCTCACACGTGTACAAAAGGGGGAAGATACAGTATTGTTTATAAGGGTGAAAAACTAGAAACAACAAAAATCTTCATCAGTAAGAGAATAAGTATGTAAAATATGGAATAGCATATAGAAGTTAGAGAGAATAGATGAGAGATAGAGACAGAAAGATGATAAATAGATCTATCCTAGAATAGCAGTTAAAGGAAATGAATTAGATTAATCTGTGTATCAACACGGAATGACTCAAAAACGTGTTAAATAGAAAAAAGCATAATATAGAATAAATGTTTAACATACAATTTAGGTAGATTTTTTAAAAACACACTAAGCATAAAACAGACTAGAAGGAGACAAAACTCACAATGTAGTTTCCTCTGTGGACAGCAAGGTGGGGTGGGAGTAGGCATGGGGTCTGTAATATTTTATTTCTTAAAAACAACCACAAAAGAAAAGATAGAAAGCAAATATGACAAAATATTGAAAGTTTTAATTTTGAGTGATAGGAATATAGGTGTTTGTTGTTTTATTCTTTGCTGTTTTCCTGTACTTTAAACAGTTCTAGAAATGTAAATGAAAGTAAAATACAAATATCCACACAGTTCTCCAGGTAGACCCTTTTACCTTATAAAGTCAAGCAAGTTGTAAACAATCAGCCTTGACATTATTAATAAATACTCCTTAAAAATAAAATTTTGTGTGAGAGGTTTCAAAACATTGCGAAACACTGGCTGTGGCTTCAGATTTCACACTTCAGATGCAACAGGATGAAACCATTGCCAAAGAGAACTCAGGGAAGTTTGACTCCCGCTGACCCCTTTGCTCATCCCCGGTTCCTCGCTCCTCCAAATTCCTGTTAGCTATTCCACTGAGGAAGCAAGAAGACTTGCCTCATGTCTTTTTCCCTGTGCCTTTTTGCTCCTTGTGAAAAATAAAATATTTTATGGGCGGAGCTTGTAACATCCTCTTTAAAAACTGGAGTCTCCACGCTAACCTGATCACTTCAGTTCCAGTATCCTGCCCAGCAAAGGAGCAATTAGCCAAAATGATGCCTGGAGGTTTAACTGAAGCCAAACCTGCCACTCCAGAAATCCAGGAGATTGCTAATGAGGTGAGTCGATGCGCTCCACAAAAAAGGTTGATCCAAAATCTTAGTTCCTAGGTTGGCCCTGTGTTGTGTGTGTGTGAACATGAAAACCAGAACACTGGGAAATGTGTAGCTTTGTTCAGCCTTTCTTAAAACTAAAAGTCTTTTTAGATGAAACCTCTAATAATCCCAACTGTGAGAGTGATCTTGAGCAAGTCACATCCCTTCTCTAGACCTCAGTTTCCCCATTCGTAAAAGAATTTATTGGAGCATCTCTGAAGCTTTTACAATGTATGATTGATTCTAGGATTCCTAATTCAGTTTCTGGTGAAACTTTTCTAATCTCAGCAAGTGGAGCCAACATGAAATTAAAGTCTGAAGTTGTTAACAATTTGACAAACTAGATTTCAAATGCGCTGCAGGGAAATTATTTTTAATGGGTTGAATGAAGAACAACATTGTAAAGTCAATTCACTTACAAACTTCCTACAAATCTGACTAAATAGAAAATGTTTTTCTTTTAGTGTTTAGGAGATGATTAAACTAGTAGAAAAGGGAAGTGACATAGTCGATGATGACTACAAAATTTATTATGGTGAAAATAGAACCCTTAATGTTTTAAGCAAATTAAGACTTTTTTTTTCTAAATGTCGTTTGATTAGCTATCACCTAAATAATAAAAATTTATTATATTCCATATTTAATGAAAAGAAAATACATTTCAATTACTATTTTAGGTTTGTATCATTTTCTATTTTCTTACATCATTCCTTCTTGCTTTTTCTCTCTGCAACTTCATTCTATGACACTGTTTGCAAACAAGATCAGCTTCTTGTGTAAGTGGAAGAGATGGGATTCTCTATGTTAGGGCACTGGGAAGCTCTCTAAGAGATTAGATGCCTGGAATTCTACTACTCAGTCTTTGGGGCTGAATATTTCCCTTCCAAGAGTTCTTTTAAAAAATAAATACCAAACGAACAGGACAGACAAACAGAGACTCATGGTCATGAACAATAGACTATTGGTTACCAGATGGTAGTGGGGAGGGGGGAGGTAGACGAGGTAAAGAGAGTCAAATATGTGGTGACAGAAATCTAACTATGGAGATGGGGGGAGGGGCGGGGAAGGGAACTGGAACTGTTAAATATATATTCTGACCCAGTAGGTCTGGGTGGGCCTGATATTCTGCATTTCTAACCACCTGGGAGGTGAGGCCCATGCTGCTGTCCATGACCTCATTTGCCTGTAGGACCAGATATACATGAAATCCTAAGAGGCCTGTGGGAGATGGGCTTTCTAAACTCAGAGTGCTGCAAAAAAATTTCTCAATTTCATTTGCGAAATGAATATAACACCTCTTGCCCTACCCATCTCAGAACGGTAAGGACTAAATGAAATAATTTCCATAAAAATGACTTGAAAACAAGAAAGAAATATGCATTGGTGAGGCATCACAGTTGCTTACTGCAAACTATTACCAGAAATCATCCCTGACCCTGGAAAATCCCCCTGGGACTCTCCAGGGGGTGGAGTGGAGGGGCAATAACAGAGGTTTGAAAAATTGAGGGTGCAAAATTTTTTAATGATTTTTAAAAAGCCTATATCTTGATGAGCAAGGATTTTTAAAATAAGAAGTTATCAAAAAACCTTGTGTTGTTATTAACACCCATCTGTGAGTCACATCTTAAATTACAAACTTAATTTGAAATTGTGTTTCTTGCTGCTCATCTCAGGCTCCAATCCTTTCTGAGAAGTAGAATGAGAGCTAGGTATTTACAGCAGCTACTTCACCCCAGAAAGTTGCTTTGCAGTTTTAAAAACCTTGTCCTCCATTCAACCTCTCATTTGATCTTTATAACCCCAGGAGCAGGGAGGAAAGGCATCGTGCCCATTTTTCGGATGATAAAACTGAGATTCGAAGAGGTTAATAACCATCTGGTTAAGAAACTAGCCTATCTCCAGATTTTTGACCACCTGCCTTTTCCACTATACGGTGGCAAGAATATGGAGAAGTATGTGGGGTGAGAAAGATTACCAGGTGGCAAACTTGCCTTCTCTGTGCAAGCAGCCATCCTCAGATTTAAATCAATACGAGAAATGAATATCAATGAATCCTTTCTTGAATATCCCTTAGGTGCCCAACAGTATATTAAATGTAGAAGATGCATAAAGACAAAGACGTGGCCCCTGCCCTCGAGAAGTGTATAGTCCACCTAGGGAAGTCAAGCTATCTGGAACACTTAAAACAATCTCCAATTAAGTACTTTTTCATAATCATAGGTTTAGGACATTAGAGATTGTTTGTCAAACTTCCTTCCTTTCAAGTGAATAATTACTATGTGGTAGTGCAGCTGTTCTGGTGTTAAACTCCCAATTACCATTTATCTTCCCTCTCTCACAAGAGGGAGCCTTAGGGAACAATCCCCAATGAAGTGTTAGAAGATAGAGGAATAGTCAATTTAGAAAGCACTCTACAGTTTAGAAACCAAGGTCACATCAACTGTATCATTTATGTCCCCACAAACTACCCCAGAAGGCAGGTATTACCATAAGCAATTTTAGGTAAGAAATTTAATCAACACCTTCTTCAAGATTATAGAATTAGTTAGGTCCCCAGGCAGGGCCAGGAATTGGGTAGGTGTTGGTAATCACATACCTGGTATGATCTGAGGGAGTCTCAGGAAAGACCACTACTATCTCTTATTTACCTTATGGTTATATTCTTTTTATTTATTTATTTATTTATTTATTTATTTATTTATTTATGGATTTTTATTTTGAAAAGTCACCTGTTAAAATGCAAGTATTCTTGGAGGAGCTGATGTTTATCAGTTTTACCTGTCCTTACAGAGAGCTTCTTAGTGTGATCCCAACTGAAGGAAGAATGTTGCTAGGGAGAGAAGGATTGGAGAGGGGAGGCCATCGCACAGAGAGGGAAAAGCATTAAAGAAAAACGATAACTTCAGGTTCAGGGAATTTGATATCAAAATGAAAGAGGGATGTTGAATGAGGTCAGAAAGAGAAGAAGATTAAACAAAGGGCTTGGGGTTGAGAAGACTTGAACGCTTTGCAGGCAGAAGAAAAGGTTCCTCATTCTGCAGATAAAGAGACTGGATGATAATTGTGAGATCATGTACTAAAGGATGCTAATGGTACTTGGGTCCAAAGTACACCTAGAAGAAACTTCCTCTTCCAAGATTTTCTGTATTAGTTGAGCATCTTTGCCATATCCCTCTTCTGTCTTCTTTCCTATTTGGGGACAAGTTGTCATGAGAAGACAACCCGAGTCTCTTCATTCAGAAAACATTGATTATGTACACAGTACTATGTGAATTGCTATAGGAGAGAAGGTATTTAGATAGTCTCTGCCCTCATGAAAGTTTACAAAGTAGACTGGAGATAAGAGATACATAAAAGGAAAGAAAGAGTTATATATGGCCCCATTCATGAAAAGCCATAATGTATGTAATTAAGGACCAAATGAATAGCCCTACCAACAAAAGCTTCTGGACCATTATTGTCGACTATTATCTTAAATCATTTATTAAAAAAACAAACAAACACGTTGGATGAGAATTCTGATTATGCTTATATACAGAAAAGATATGTTATTTCAATAATTATTTTTATAAATAAGATCTATCACTACACATGCACAGGTGTGCGTACACACACACACACACACACACAAACCTGAAGTCAAACCTGATTGCTGAATACCATTCCTGGCATATGCAGAGATCATGATTTTTGTCTGCCAGGACACCACGCAAACGCACCATCCACATACTATTAGGGACACACCCTAGCATGTCATGGCTCTCATTCACGCACAAATTTGTGTTCTACTCTCTGCCTGCAGCCTCCTCATCAGTCACCTCTCCCACTGCTCCACACCCAGAGAACCTGCCATTCAACCACACCAGAATCCTTCAGGCACTCACCCTCCCAATTTCATGAGAACACGCATAGGCCCACTGGATCACTCATCCAAACTGGACCTGTGACGCATAGATCCCTACATTCCTCCACCCCAGATTTCCATGACCCCATGACTTCTGGCATAACAATCCTCAAATAGAGATCGCTCCCACTGCCACCACTTCCTCCTCAGCTTCTGCTCCAGGTTCAGAAAATTTTGCTCAAGGAAGATGCAAAACTCACCCATTATAAATCTGTGAATTCATGCCAGCAAACAACCACAATAGGACCTGAGGCTGCCAGAATATCCTTTCAGTCTTATCCTGTTGGTCCTTTTCTAGAAAACTCATAGAGCTCCTTTTCTAGAAACCCCTCTCTCAGCTCAGTTTTTCAGTCTCTTTCATCCCCACGGCCCCTCCAGCCAGTGTCTCAGTTCCTCTCTTAGAAGACTGCAGTCATCCTGTGTAAGAACACCCTGATTGACTTATCCCCTGCTAAGTGCCATCACTCCTTGCACTCCTTGTACGGTGTGCAAGGAGTGATGGCACTTAGCAGGGGATAAGTCAATCAGGGTGTTCTTACACAGGATGACTTCCCTCTGCCTCAAAACATAGATGACAAATGTCCACAGGTCACCTCATTAGCACTACTGTACTTCCATACTGCTACCCAAACTCTCCTTTCTAACTCTGTAAAACTTCTCAAAATATGGCCTATCCAGGTAGCCACCAATATCTCACTATCCATTCTTTCCTAAATTACACATAGTCCAAATGAATCTGCAGAATGATTACAGAGAGGGGAAATACCTGGGTGTGTGGTGCAGCATGGATGGAATCCTCAAATCCAAGAGAACTAACAACTCAACAAGAGTCATGCTCTGCAGCCGTTAAGAAATGCTTGAGCAGCTCTAGGGTTAATGTATTCTACCAGGCGCTCCTCCCTGGTAGCATCCTTCCCCCGGCTGGGGCCCAAGAAATAAACCTACATGGTTTTTTCCAGCGCTTCAGCCACCTCCACGCATGGCAAGCTGAGGAAGGTGAGCACCAACCGTGTTCAGCTCAAGGTCTGTCTATTTACCACCAGGCTCTTGACCACCACTCCCAGCTGGCCTTCACCCTCCTAGCACCCATGCTGGGGGATCTTTCAGCATCAGTCTGCCTTCTGAAACTTAAAGTTTCACTGGCTGCTTCTTCCTATGCTGTCCCTTTTCCTGCTCCTCGGCTTAAATCTCATCACCCCATGTTCATAGAATCCAACATTAGAATAATACAAATCTGTTTTACTGGAAGTGGGGGAGCAAGGCTACAGGTTATAAGTACAGTAATCTCTCCATATCCACAGATTTCGCATCTGTGGATTCAACCAACTGTAGATGAAAAATTTTCAGGAAAAACAAATCCCAGAATGTTTCAAAAAGCAAGACTTAAATATGCCACATGTCAAATCCTATGCCAAACTCACATGAATGAAGTATGTGTACGCAAACCCTTCTGTAGCATACATGCAAAAATAGGTTATATGCAAATTTTGTACCATGCCAGTTTATATAAGGGAATTGAGTATCTGCAAATTTGGGTGTCTGCAAGGGGTCCTGGAACCAGTCTCCTGAGGATTCCAAGGGACGATTGTACAGTGAGCCTGAAATCAAGGCACACACTGACAGGTGCCAGTACACTTACAGAAATCAGAATATTTGAAATCAACTCTCTCCTGGAAAATTCTAGATTTGTGGACTGCGTAGATACAATGAAAGATTATAGATTTAGATCTATTTCTAGGACAGGTAGAAATAAAACTTCTGATATGAGGTAAAAACATGACTAAAAGACTGGAAACTGGAAGGAATACAGATAATTGTAACAGATAAATCAGATACTTATCAGGCAAGGGAATTGAAAACTTTAAATAACTGTAATTACTAATTTTTCAACCTTAAGCAGTCATGTTCTCCTCACAGTCTCAGGTTCCTCACTTGTAAAGTGAAGTTTAAATAGATAATTTTGGGTTTAATGTAGAGATTAACCCTTTCCAACTCAGCACCTAACCTGACTGGTACCCAGTGTCGTCTGAAAAGTATCAGGACACTGACAGCAATAGGACAGTAACTCCTGTCCTCACTGACTTCTCTCTCCACTCTTCATTTTTCTTGTCTCTCTCTCTCCTGTACTTTACCTCTTCTATCTGTGTTCCCCCACCCCCTCTTACTTTCTCCACTTGGAGCTTCATTTCTCATCTCAAGAAAGCAATCCAATTCTTCCCATCTATTCTGAAGACTGCAGGAGAAATGGGTGGTGGTCCATAAAGTGCTGCCCCTCGATGAGGTCTGAGAATGCCTACTTTGTAAATGTCTATGTCTTTGAGAACAGTTCTGGTACCCAAACTGAGGCACCAATAAAAAAGGATTTGAAATATCTGCCCACTGATGAGAAGGACTGAATGGCCTCACTGAAGCTGTATATGCACGTAAAAGGCTTCGCTGAAGATTGGGGCAGGCCCATGACTTCCCAATAAACAAGGTGTATCAAACACTCACATATATGTTCTTTTCCCTCTAAATGATAGAAAAGGATTTGGGGGGTGAGGAGGGTGCAAACCCACAGATATAAAGACAACAAGAGATAGGCAAACACCACATCAGAGATATCAACAAAACGTGGAAGCTGGGAAACAGATGAACTTTGGGAAATGACTGAGCCATCTGGACAGAGCCTCAGCCACAGAGGGGAATGTCTGAGCCAGAAGCCAGCAGATTTAGGCTGCAGAACTCCAAAATGACTCAAGCACTAGCAACGCCAGAAACTTAGGAAGATGAGAGATATGGGGCTAAAACCAGGAGAATTGATGGGAGAGTTGTATGAGGACAGTCAAGACTGCCCCAGATTCTTCTCTCTCACTATCCTCCACCTGGAAAGACAAGCTATATTACCTGTCCTCCACCAGGGCAGAGAGTGGAGCTTTACTCTTAGCAGAAATTAAGTCAGAGACCATAATACACACTGGCATATTAGGCCCAGTTGAGAGCAGGAACAAAGGACCTACTGAAAACCCGTGGATTCCTAAGTTTACATACTGAATTTGAGATTCCCTACTCCCTTCTTATCCTTGGTTCAAGAATGCTGGCATCTATGCTTATATCCCTCTGTGGTGGACAGAATGTGGCCCTTCGAAGACATCCACATCCTAATCCCTGAAGTCTATAAATATGTTACCCTACTTGCAAAGGGACTTGCAGATGTGATTAAGGGTGTTGAGATATATGATATTATTTCTGCAATTTTGGGTCTGAAATTATTTCAAAATAGGAAATTTTTAATGAAGTAGTAATTATTGCTCTCTACCAGTCAAAACAGTACCATATAGCCATATTACCATTTATCACACTGAGTTGATTATAAATCAGCCTAAAACAACAAAATTTAATATTTTAGTTAGCTCATGAAAACTTATTAAAGATAGGTGTTTTCTTTGAAAAACTGAAAACAGCTCATAGATATCATTATTATCTTTGAGCACTTTTAAGAATATAAGGTCCCAAGATTTGTAAATCACATAAATGGAGTCTATTATAGCTTTGATAATTTGTTTCTTCTTTTCTTTTCTTAAGGTTAAACCGCAGCTTGAAGAAAAAACAAATGAGACTTATGAAGAATTTGAAGTTGTAGAATACAAAACTCAAGTGGTTGCTGGAACAAATTACTACCTTAAGGTTAGAGTTCAACACCCACTTTGGCACTAAGACATTACATTTGTCACATTATGTGACATTCCGAACTGTCACCTCTACCATATAATTTGTTCCTTGTCCTTGTCCTAAATTAAGATGTCTATCTAGCGTACTTCCCAAGTGGTAGACTCTCAAATTTAGCAGATGATATTATATTTATATCTTTTTCTCGTTAATTTAGAAAGCCTTCTTCTAATGATTCTTAATTTCCAGAAATTTTATAGAAAAAGATTTCATAAAACCTTAGATTATGTTTAGGTTGTGACTGTGGCGGTTTCTTATGTGAAGGGGGAGCTTGAAGGCCTGGGCTGGACCAGATGCTTTCTTGAAGGTTATTCTACCTCAAAGTTTTATGTTTCTACATGTCTAAATTAAGTGGATTTAAGGAATAATTTGAATCAGTTGGGAAAATAATTTAAATCACTTTTTCCCTTTATATAACATTTTGATTAATACAATTTAAATCATTTTTACAAATCAAATAAATGCATTCAACTTGTAGCACTGTAGGTATAGTTTAATGCAGTGGAGCATTAAAAATATTTTAAATTAATTTTATACCTACGTCAAAAATTTAAATGATACATTGATCCAGTTCTAATTTAAGAAAAAACTTGTATAGTTGTCGAGGGAGAACCTATTCAACAAGTCAACCATAGATATTTGGGGGCCGCTTTCATCCTTTTGTACTGAGAAGACGATAATTCTGATTTAATAAATAATAACAACAGACATTCAAACGTCTGTTGTGCTTAATCTTTACTGAATTGTTTGACCAAGGCACAGTCTGGCTAATTTCTCTTTAACAAACAACTAACTACTTAAGATATAAATTATTTTTAGCAAAAAATAAAATAAAATAAGTGATGCTGACCAGCTCAGCATGAGAAAATTACGATACTGGGTTGTGTAAATGGATCAGCCCAGTTCTACCATATAGGAGCTTCTAAAATATGCCAGGTGCTGGGGCGGGGTCCATGGAGGAGAGCCTGCCTTGTGCTCAGAAAGCAATGGCGTTGTTTCCTCCTTTCTCAGTCTGCTGTCTTCGTAGCTAGGAAAGAACGTTTTCCAATTAAAAGGTGATTTTGTTCAAAGGTAAGAAACGTTCCATTAAAATTGGGATCATTATTTTAATAATTTATGATTCGCCCATGTGTATAACTTTCACATATTAATTAGCTCATGTATTTCTTAAAAAGCTCACCGGAAAACTATCTTGAAAATTTCTTCCATTAAGATCACCTGCCCAGTCTTAACCACAGTCTCTTCTCTTCCCTTCTCTTCCTTTTTCTTCCTTCCCCTTCCCTTTTCTCCCCCTCCAACCCTTCCTCCCTCCATCTCCTTCCTTCTGCTACTGGATCATAGCCACTGACCCCAGCTCCCTCAGTACTTCCTGTTGGTCTAGCTGTCATTCCCTTTGCTCTGAGCCATTCTCTAGATTTAAGGTCTTGCCAGTGATGGGACCGTCTCTGCTCTTTCTCAAGTACCTATCCAGAGACAGGTGGTAAAAAGGAAGGATTGCAGGCTTTGGTGTTGACAGTCTTCGGTCGGAACCCTTGTTTGACTTGTTCCACTTGTGAAAACCTGTGTGATGGCAGCTCCTCATCTTCTCTGGGCCTTCATTCCCTTATTTCCACAATGCAGATAATAACCTACTCCACAGGGCATTGTGTGGAATAAATGAACTAGAAATTTACTGAGCACTTAAAAATGTGCCAGGTACTGTTCTAAGAGCCGGGCATGTATTTAATCCTCTCAACAAATCTGCGCCATAAGTATGCCCATTTCCCTTGTTACAGATGAGCTGATTGAGTCCCAGGGAGGTGAGGTAACTAACAAAGGTCATACAACTATAAAAGCAGAGTCAGGATTTGAACCCAGGTAGTCTGACGCTTCACTCTTGGCTGCGCCACCTCTAATAATGTATGCAGAGGCTGGTGCTCTGTTCCAAACACAGAATAAATGCTTTTACAAGGTTACATCATACAATGAAAAAAACATAGATATTGGAGCCTGGATTTCACTTTTGGCTCTGTCACTTATTAGCTGAGAGATCTATGGAAAATTATTTAATCTCTCTTAATCTGCTTCTACCTCTGTTAAACTGTCACTGCCCCACCTTTCTTCAGGCCCGTAATAAGAAGTAAATATAATAGGTATACAAGATGCTCATCAGAGTATCAAACTCATAGTAAATATTTGATAAATGGCATTTGTTAAAATTAGGTCAGGAAGGGACATCAGAGCACAATAAATATTATTTGAAGACAAAACTTTTATTGTCTCAACCAAGAATGATAGTGGAAATTCTTACCATGATTTTCTAGGTCCACGATTCATACCCAAACTACCATTTCGATCTTCATATCCATGACTTCCCAGCAAGGTCCCTTTGCTTTAGAAGAGAGACCAGACTGCCCGTTCTCCGGGCCCTGCTCTGTCCTACCAGTGAATATTTATAAAGTAGGTTCTAATGTAGATATGCGAACCACAATCTCGAATTTCCTAGGACAATTCTGAGTTTCCTCTCCTTTCTTAAACCATGTGGCAAATAAAGTGTCCCAATTTGGGAGTCAGAAGGGCTGTCACTTGTTTTCTTCTTGCTCTATGCATCTTTGAAAGCGAAGTGCAACTCTGGACTTTCATTTGTGTCCAGATTATAGGAAAATATAAAATAAAATAAACCTAGGCCCTACGCCTCTTGCCATGGCTTTAGCCTGCCCTTTCTCTCATAAAATAAGATGATAGATTTATGAAAAACAAGGGTCTAAGAATGCTGGTGTAGGAATGCTGTTCCAGAAAAGCTTATTTCAGTGAAATCTTCTGAAGTTTGTAGATGTTTCACTTGTAGATCCAAGCAAATGAATCTTTTTCTTTTTTTATCTTTCAGGTACGAGTAGGTCATAATAATTATATTCACCTGAAAATATTCGAAGCACTTCCTCAACAACATCAGCCTTTGACACTTACTGGTTACCAGACTGACAAAAGCAGGGACGATGAGCTGACGGGCTTTTAGTGGCACGTTCTAAAAGTGGTCTGAATCCTTTCCTTGGCTACCGATGAATGATACCTGCTAATAAATGCAACTATCAATAAAGAAACTTTCTCTTTTAAATAAATTAATTGTTTTAACTATTTGTCTGTTGTATTAAATTAATTACCTTTTTTTCTCAAAATCAACGTTACTACTTTAGAATAGAAATTCCATACAAATTGATGTCAATTGGAAATCTTGTGAAAATTAGGCCCTAATGAAACTGGCTAAAGGATAGCAATACCACTGCCCCATGCCCACCATCGGCAGGCTACACGGTGGGCCATCAGTGCCCTGTGGTTGCTGAGAATCCAACATTCCATCTCCACTCTCACATTTCAAATTTAAATCTTGTATTTTACAAAATATACTTATATTTTGAAACAATCTCAAATTTACACAGAAGTTACAAAAAAAAAAACACTTTTTTCCCGGACATTTGAGAGTAAATTACCTACAGTGATTCCTCATCACCAATAAATACTTTAGTTTGCATTTTCCTATAGAAAAAAAATATATTCTCCAGAATAAATGAAATACAGCTATCAAAATCAAGAAATTAACATTGATACATTTGCTAGTATCTAATCTGCGGACAACATTCAAATTTCCCTAGTCATCCCAAAAGTGTCCTTTATTGCAAAAAGATCTAGTCCAAAATCATGTGTTTCATTTAATTGCTGTTTTCCTTTGTTAACACTTTTATCGAGATATACTTTACATACTATACAATTCACCCAATTACAATACACATTGCAATGATTTTTGGTATATTCAAAAATGTGTGCAACAATCACTATAGCCAGTTTTAGACATTTTCATCACCTTAAAAACAAACTCCATACCCTTTAGCTATTATCCCTCATCATCCTCCATGCCACCACCCCTGAACAACCACTAATTTACTTACTTTCTGTCTCTATAGATTTGTCTATTCTAGACATTTCGTATATATGGAATCATATGGTCTTTCGTAACTGGCTTCTTTCACTTAGTAAAATGTTTTCAAGTTTTATCCATATTGTAGCATGTACCAATATTCTGCTTTATGGCCAAATAACATTCCATTTTATGGATATACTACATTTTTGTTTGAGTCGATTACACCTTTTGACTATTATGAACAACGCTGCTATAAACATTTATGTACAGGTATTTGTGTATACATATGTTTCCATTTCTCTTGGGTAATATACCTAAGAGTATAGTTGCTGGTTCACATGGTAACTCAATGATTAATTGTTCAGAGAAATTACAGACTGTTTACCAAGGCAGCTGCACCATTTTACATTTCCACTGCAGCTTATGAGAGTTTGGATTTCGACACATCCTCACGAACTTTTGTTATTACCTGACTTTTTGAAACTAGTTATCCTAATGGGTGTGGAGTGTTATCTTATTGTGGTTTTGATTTGCATTTTCCTGATGACTAACGATGTCAAGCATCTTTGCATGAGCTTGTTATCTATTTGCATACCTTCCTTGGAGAAGTGTCTATTCAGATGCTTTGCCTATTTTTTAATTGGGCTATTTGTCTTTTTTTATTGAGCTGTAAGAGTTCTTTGTGTATTCTGGATATAAGTCCCTTATCAGATACCTGATTTGCAAATATTTTTTCCTATTTTGTGGTTGTCTTTTCACTTCTTGATGGTGTCCATTGAAAAAACAAAAGTTTTTAATTTTGATGATATCTGTTTTCTCTTTTGTTGCTTGTGGTGTCAGATCTAAGGATCCTTAGCCAAAACCAAGCCCAGGATGATTTATTTACTCCTATGTTTTCTTCTAAAAGTTGTGTAGTTTTAGCTTTTATATTTAGGTCTTCGGTCCCTTTTGAGTTAATTTTTATAAATACATGAGGTAAGGATCCAATTTCATTCTTTTGTACATGGCTATCTTAGTTGTTCCAGCACCATTTGTTAAAAAGACTATTCTTCCCTACATTGTATTGTCTTGGCTCTCTTGTTGAAACCAGTTGATCATAGGCACATCATTTCATTTCTAGACTCTCAATTCTAGTCCATTAATCTACATGTCCATCCTTATGCCAGTTTCACACTTTCTTGATTATTGTTGCTTTGTAGAAAGTTTTAAAATCAACAAGTGTGAGTCCTCCAACTTTTTCCTTCTATTTCACGAATGTTTTAGCTCTCTTCTGGATCCTTTGAAATTCCCTATGAATTTTAGAATTAGCTTATAAGTTTTGACAAAGAAGTCAGCCAGGATTCTGATAGGGATTGTTTTGAATCTGTAGATCAGTTTGTGGAGTAGAGCCATCTTAACAATATTAAACTTTCCAATCTATGAACATGGAATGTTTTCCTAGTTACTTATATCTTCTACAGTTTCTTTGAACAATTTTTAATAGTCTTCAGAGTATAAGTTTTGTACTTTTTTTGTTAAATGTATTCCTAGTATTTCATTCTTATAGATGCTATTATAAATGGCTTTGTTTTCTAATTTCATTTTGGCTTGCTAACTACATATGTCTAGAAATACAATTGATTTCTGTATATTGGTCTTATATTCTTCAACCTTGCTGAACTTGTATATTGGTAGATTCCTTAGGATTTTCAAATACTACAAGATCATGCCGTCTGCAAAGAGAGAGAGTTTTATTTCTTCCTTTCCAGTACAAAGTTAAATAGAAGTCGTAAGAGTGGATATCCTTGTCTTGTTCCTGATCTTAGGGAGAAAGCATCCTGTTTTTTGCCATTTAGTATTATGTTAGCAATGGAATTTTTGTAGATGCTCTTTATCAAGTTGAGGAAATTCTCTTCTAGCTGCTTGAGTATTTTTTATCATGAAAGGACATTGGATTTTGTCAAAAGAAATTTTCTGTACCTATTGAGATAATCATGTATTTTTGTTTTTTAGTCTATTGATACAGTTTATTACATTAAACATTAATTGATTTGGAGATTATAAACCGACTTTGCACTCCTAGAATGAATGTCTTGTCTTGGTGTATAATTCTTTTTTATGTACTAGATTTCTTTTGCTAGTGTTTTGTTGGGAATTTTTGTATCCATGTTCATAAGAGATATTGGTCTGTTTTCTTGTGATGTTTTTGTTTGGTTTTGATATCTAGGTCTCATAGAAAGTGTTCCTCCCTTTTCTATTTTTTTTGGAAGACTGTGTAGAATTGGTATTCATTCTTCTTTAAATGTTTAGTAGAATTCAGCAGTGAAGCCATATGGGCCTGGGCTTTTCTTTATGGGAAGTTTTTGACTACTAATTTGATCTCTTCACTTGTTATAGGTCTACTTAAATTGACTATTTCTTCTTAAGTTGGTTTTGGTCATGTCTTTCTAATAATTTGTCCATTTCATCTATATTATCTAATTTATTGGCATACAATTGTTCATAGTATCCCTTCCTTATCCCTACCTAATGGATTTTGGACTGAATTGTTTAGGAAGGAGATGGGAAGAAGAATGGAAGAGAGGAGGAAGAGAACAAAAGGGATAGAGAAAGGTAAGGCGAAAGGGGAAAGAGAAGAGGAAACTTGTTTTAAAGATGCCCTAAATAACGTCCACCTCTGTGTTCTGCACTCTGCTCACCACCCTACTAGTGTCACTTGCCAATCCCTCTGTCCCCAAATAATAATAATAATAGTATATATTAAGTGTTAGTTATATGCCAGATAGTGTTCTAAAGACTCTATGCATATTACTGATTTAATTCCCATAACAACCTTATGAGGTGTAAATATTGTTATTACTCCCTTTTTATAGAAATCGGAGTGTAGAGAAGTTAAGATACTTGCCCAAGGCTTCATGGCTAGTTAATAAAGTGAGGATATGATCCCAGGCTGTCTGCCTCCAGGATTAATGCTCTTAACCCCTATAGAATTTATTTGCTCAACATTTTTCTGACCCATGAAGGAGATAAGCTAGTGGGAGCTTGAAATAGTGATGTTTTTTAATAACCACTGCCAACTCTAAATGAAATTGTCCTATTTATCTACCTTCAGCATCTAGCACATAGACATTTAGTTCAATAAGTAAACTAAAAACCCTCCACTGGCCTGCTGGCATTAACAACATATGGCTTCTAGTGATAGGGGCTACCAGAGATGACCCCACGGGTGCAATAACAAGAATCCTTTTCAGAGAAATGCAAGCACGAACACAAATACCTATAGCTGTATACACATAGCAGCCGGTCAAAGAAATACAAACTCCATAATTTGCTTATTCAGCTTTATTTTTACTTTATCCTGATTTGGGTATAGAAAGTCTGAATATTTCACATGTTTAAGAATTAATCTAATAAGAGACATACAGAACCTATGCAAAGACCATTATAGCACTGCACTGTCAGAAATAGAAGACTTGAATAAATGGATAAATACATCCTGTAGCCGGTTAGGTAGACTTCGTGTTAAAGAGAACACAATAATAAGTAGGAATAAATAGGAAAGAAGATCAAGTAATGTGTGCAGCGATTTTAAATCTTGCCTACGTATTAGAATGGCTTAATGTAGATTTTTAAAAATCCAGATTGGAGTCGCACTTAAGATCCATTAAATAAGAATCTCTGG